GGCAATAGATTGCACAGTGAAATATTGCACATTGTTGATCTGGCTAACCAGTGATTGCCTAAACGTATATTAAGTTAAATTAAGCTTAGAACTGCTTACTCATGGTCATTATACAATAAATGTGGACTTATTAGGCTGTAGTAATTAATATTCAGTGTGGACTTGTTGCTCGATCTTAATTTAATGACATTATTTGTTCTGCTCTGATTCCTTGCCCACAGATGAGTCCAGGACACCCTCCCTGCCCACTGCTATGGCCAATATAACTGGGCCTCCTCCACACTGCCCCAGCAAACGAAAGTATGGCGAAGAACAAATGGACGACCGAATAAACTGTGATGATGACCACATGACCAAAATGAGCAGATTGTTTGCCACTCAGCTGTAAGTGTCTTTCGTACATTATTATCCCTTGTCAACGCATTGGCTCTTTGACTTTTATTGCTCAAATAAATAGTGTGCAGAGTTTCTTATGTGTTCATCTGCGATCCATGTGGCGAGTAATATGCAATGAAAGGAAGTCTGCTGGGTACTTTTTTCATTATCATACAAAAAAATGTATTATGACACTTGAGCTGTCAATACAGGTTTTGTCCTCATCGTTTGCTTTGTCACATTTATATAGATTCCTTTTTTATTTTGTATTAATGTAGATTAGCAAGGTGAGCTACCCTTTTTTTTTTAAGAATCTCAAAATTGGAGTTGGTTTATCTCAACTAATGGAAATTATTATGACAGCACAGGGTAATTATACACTGTTTTATTAGATATATTACATATATGATGTAATATGATGTAATGGGATGTAACGTGATCATGTTTTTATTTCCCCAATAGGGAATAGTTCCCCTTAATAGATTCAAGAATATATTACACATGTGGAAGAGCATTTTGCTATTATTCATTTTTTAATTTATTCTTTTATTTTGCACTCGTCTACCCAATGGAGGGTGTCTGAATGTGTGTCTTTGTCTTATTGTGGCATTTGCCGTAAACTCTCAGCAGTCATAATCCCAACAGTGAAGCATACATTTTTTTGCATAACAGATAATGGCAGGTGAGTAGGACTAAACTCTTGACTGTGAAGAAACCAAAGACTTCCACACAAATTTGTTGAATTGCACTTACTTTATTAACTATGTTTGAGTCCTGAGACTTCATTTGGTGCAATTCATATAGACAAACTGCACCGGAACCATAATCATATTTGGATAAAACTGGCGGAAAAAAGAGAAATCCTCAAATTGTATTGAATCCAAGAAGAATCAAATCATTGAGCCTGAAATAGTCCGGTTTGTGATTGTGAAATAAAAGTGGAACATGACTGTACAGCATTAATTCTGGTGAATTACAAAATCTACCTCCAGGCTGGAAAGTGTTGTGATTCTAAGAGACAACTTAGATTATCAGCAAAACAAAGCCAGCAAGTGGGATATCAGGCACAATGTTGCCTACATATATGATAGGATGGTGCACTAAAAAAAAAAAGGCAAACAAGACCACAACCACGGCCTGAGCTGTGTGCGGTCATCTCTTTATAGACGCTGCGTGCGACAGCTGATTTGTGAACTGTGTATGAAAAGGTGAAGCTGTTGGTGGTATGTGTTTAATTTGTACTCTCTTTATCAAGGGCCCGTCCCTCTGCTGGAGACAACCGCAATGAGCACTGGAGCCACAGTCACACTCCTGTGGAGCACATCACTTCCTCCTCCAACGGTCTCCATGGAAACCACCTGTATTCTTCCATTTCTGGCTATGATGTAGACCAGCCTCTGGCTCTGACCAAAAGCAGCCACGACATAGGAGGTGGGGGCAGAGAGAGGCCCGTCATGAGTGGGACTGCAGAGCGGCAGCAGGTATGTTAGATCTGATGTTCACAGTGGAAAAAGCACTACATCTTAAAAGGGGTATTGGAGATAACATAGTATGATAAATAAATACACTATATCCTGGATAAACCAAAGCCCAGTCCATGCTTCATGTATCTGCATGGCCGCAAGCGATTCCTGTGATGTAAATTTCGTTATTTGCCAATGTCCTCGAAGGTCCACGAAGACCCCCATGTGGATGTCTGCTTGCTGAGCAAAGTTTTTGACTGTGCAGGTTATATGCACTACAAGTGTTACCGTTAAAAAGTTCAGAAATTAAAAAAACCTGTTTTTCAGGCCTGTTTGGAATTAACAAGATGTTTTAGAAATGTTTTGACTCCACCTCTTTTTGGTTATTGTTTAAAATGTATTATATAAAAATCCCACGGTGCGTTCCTTTTTATTATGGATTTAAAATCTAGTATGACCGTCATCACTGGTATCATGCAATACACATATGCAGCCAGTTGGTGGCACGATTATCTAATGAAGTAAAGTCAGCAAGTGCTAGCAGTCTGCTTATCGGCAAAAACGCTAGGGAGTGCGTGTTTAATAATGCACGAGATCGAGAGAGGCCATGACCTTAGCCATGCTGGTTGCAGGCTCTGCACCAAAATGAGCATTAGTGGGAAAGCAGCTCTGGTCAGCGACGCTGAAGGGGAAAAAGCATCAATACAACCAAAAGGCCGCTCAACAGACTGCCAGTGTGGGAACATTTTTCTTGCTGTAGCCAAGCCTGATGATGTTACTGCTACTACCAGCACGGCAAGTATAGCTGCAAAACAGCTGCAACCCACTCTCAACCAATACAATGATCTGCTATATAAGAAGTGTTTTAGGCACTGAAGACCATGGGCTGTGTTATTTGTACAGCTCTTGTGATAACACAGGTGAGCTCACACTGGAATAAGAGCCTCCTTATTGCACCCTATTAAACTACTTAAAGAAAGTCATGGCAACGGCGTAACATATTATGGAAAAGTCCTGAAAAATCATTGAACAACCGTGACTAGAAGACGCATTCATCTCTGTATTTATATATTCATAGATTGTAGACTTATCATTTAAGGTGAAATAGTAGCTGTGCATATTTTCAGTATTTTATTAAACATTTCTGGACAATATAGTGATCAGTTCTGAGCATTTCAACTCTCTCTGGGGGAGATCCATAAGAGCGTATACCAGCCGCCTACCCCTCCATTGTGTCTTCGTTAGCTTACTGTATGTGTTTTTCCCACCTGTAGAATCGTCCCTCCGTTATTACCTGTGCTCCTGCGAGCAACCGCAATTGTAACCTCTCGCACTGCCACATGAATGGCTGCTCACCCAGCCCACCTGCTGATCAGAGGAAGCCCAATGGTAAGCCTTTATCACGACATCACTATGTCTACTATTACTGCTTTTTATTGACTTGATGGAGTAATCATAGATATGTTTTTTTTTTTATATACATTACATTGCTTGGTAGTAACCAGGTTGTTGCTCTCCTTCTTCTACATGTGTTATTTTAGCTAACACAGTAAGCGATCCTGTGATTGAGGAGCACTTCCGTCGCAGCCTTGGAAAAAACTACAAAGAAGCAGAGCCTGTGTCCAACTCGGTGTCCATAACAGGTTCAGTGGATGACCACTTTGCCAAGGCGCTAGGAGATGCCTGGCACCGAATCAAGGCCAAGGGCGGGGATCATCAAACCCCGGAGGCAGATCCATGAAGCTGGGTTGGAGTAAACATTACAATCACTTTCTTAGTGTTTGCATATGAGAGTGGACATTGCCCACTGTCATTTCTTGCCAAGCATCAACTTCCTTTAGCCACGAACAATGTAAGACAAATGGTGCTCACATAGGCTGTTCAGTTGTAGACCTCAAGGTCGGATTTGTGCTCTAAAATTGGTAAAGTCTCCATTAAAATTGCATAGTTAGGTTGACAATTTTAGTGGTGGAAACAGTACAATCATAGATGTTATTTTGCATTGATAATGAGATTCATAAAGTGGTTGGTTCTGTTTCATCTGCCTTTCACCTGCCTTGATAGCCAAAGAAATGTTCTGCCTTTCCCATCAACACATAAGCCATAGATCTGGTCTTTTTTTCTAAAATCACACTGCTTTTTAAATCTATATTACTTGAAAAGGTCAGCCAGGTCTCATTTGCGCTATTATGTTTCTGACCATTTAGGTAGCAGGTTACCTGTTAAAGTTGGAACTAATGTGTTCAAGAATGCATCCTGTGGTTGGAAATTGTGATATTGCAATTAAGGCTCTGGCCCCCCCTGCTTTTTGAAGACGCTAGACTAGTCTGTCTTCTTTATGATCCTGAACTGGACTTATCCACTGTTAACTAAATAATTTTAGTTTCCTGTCTTTATGCTTACTGTGGCTGATTACTTAGTAAACTAATATCAATCATAGTAGATGTGTCTAGCTAGAAAGCATGTTTCAAATAGCTGGTTTCTATTACAAACCTTATTCTATACTATATATTTACTCAGAATTTATTTTTTATCTGTAACATTTTAGAAATACTCACTGCTGGTACAGTTGTACTCAATATATTTTTTGTATCTGGTTTTCATTACTATATGTAGGTGTATATCATAGCATCCATCTACAAATCACAGCCTCTGGCAAGGTTGTCTGAATGCAGTTTAAAAGGCTATTGCTTTGTTATTCTGTGGAGCTGGATGCTATAGCTTTATACATGACTGAATACAGCTAAATCGGACCTTCTGTAGCACAGTCTATTAGCAGTGGCTTTATTTATTCTGAACATGTCGATAGTTTCATGTTGACTTTTGGCAAGAACATAGGGACAGCAGAATTCTAACTTTGATTTGTTTCTTTCTCATGACGAACAACAGACGATGTCTCCATTCCTTCAGTAACAAAGTTGATTTCCCCTTAAAACTAAGATTTTAATTTGCATGCAATAGGTTTCCTTAATTTACGAGTAGGCATCAACATTCCACCATGACTGCCAGACACTGTTACTTCAGTTGTGTTTAGCAAGCACAACTCAAGTGACTAGTATGTTTGTCTTTTGTTAATCGAGGTAATGTCGGGGTTTGAGTTGCAAAAATCTTCATGTACTATGGAGAAAAGGTAAAAGTCAAAAAGGGTTTTTTTGTGCAGTTGAGTTTTGTTTAAATTAATTTCCCTTCTGAAATTCTCTAATAGTAGCGTAACATATTTGTCAACACTGATTAAGATATGGTATTGTAAATTCAGATTTGTTTTTGTATGTCAATTAACTGTCTGTGCAAGCATATACATTTGTATTAATATTCTACAGTTTTTAAATGGTTACATACACTATCCTGTCTTCATATTTTATTTTACTCATATAAGACTATCATTGCGCCGCGCGGAATGATCATAGATATTTTGTTTCTATTCTGAGTAGTGTACTCACGTAGCATGGATGTTTAGTACCTTCTAACCATGCTTTTTTTTATCTTTCTAAAAATGTATTATTTTCCCATAATTGTCAGAGGATGAATAAGTGCAGGAACACAAACAGTCTTTTTATCAAAGACTTTGTTGGTGCAACGTCAGAAAGACTTCTGTACTAACAGTATAACGAGTTTGTTTAGCTCTCTGTGGGCACCGTAGTGGAATTTCGGGATTATCATGGGATCTGCTTGTTTGACACAAGTAGGTTTTTCAGTAATGTATTTTGGGGTATTAGTCCATTGTTATTTAATTGCTACATTTAGACTACCTGTTTCTCAAAGACTGTTGGCAGAAAATACCTGCTCCAGGTGTCATCCACATAGAAAAAAAGAAACACTTGTTCACTTTTGACTTTATTTCTCTGGAAGAAAATGCCACTGTTTTGTACTTAATTTCTTCCAAATAAACATAAAAATGCTCACATTTGCATATTTCTTGTCATTCTTTTTCCTAAATAAAATGTGACATGATGCAAACATGATACTACAATATTATATGTCTCTAACTTGCTGTAACAGAAGGTTTCTTACATTTTTTTTTTTTACACTTTTGTTCAGATTTCCTGATTGTTACTTCAAAAAATGAAGACTTGTGACCTGCATTTGACTACCTACAAAGTCATGGTTGGTATGGGTGAAAATGGTAATCAATGGGTATGATGACAGCGAAACTCAATCAGGATTCATTCAGATTTAGGCGAAAACATTTTGTGTTGCTGTATATGTGACATGCATTTATTAAGCAGTACATGTTGAAGAGCCCTTTGGAAACTCCTCAACGGACCTGGAGTAAGACAGGTTATTTCTGAATGTGTAGGGCAGGTTGTTCTCTCAAATCACATACTACTGCTGTATATGTTAATTGTGAAATTACATAGACATCTTTGTTGCAACTTCGAAATCACAGACACTTGAGTCAGTAATGAGTTGGTTACACTGATTAGAGCACTCCTTTTTCAACAGAGCAATCAGGAGTCATTGCTCTCACTCTATTGTCATTGGGCAAGTGTCGCTATGGCCACAATATTAAGTGCTTTATAAACTAATTAGCCAAACCTCTCAAAAGGATGAGAATTGAACAAATCTCCTTTTATAGTAGACCTTCGATAACTACTCGCCTAAATCATCTTTGTTTAGGTTGGACATCCTGATGTTTGTGTTTCTTCCTGGAACAGCCTTGTTGGGTTCGGTTTCCAGTCACTAGCTTACCATTTTGTTGAGATGTTTTTTTTGGCTAAAACAAACCTAAATGAGTCGAAGCTGCAAAACAACGGATGTTTAAAACATCACATTGCAGGAACTGTTGCTTTTTAGAGTTAGCTACCGGAATACTTGCCGTATTGGTATAGTGAGTCACTCTCTCGTCCCCTCTTTCCAGTGAAAAATATAAAACCTGTTGACATGTAACCTCAAAACAGCTGTATATTTAATGTCTTTCTATTTCTACTTAATAGCTATGTGTGTGATAAATTCTCTGGCCGAGTCGTCATGTTCTCGACAAGCAGCTGACGTCTTTGGACATAGATGTTGTTTAGTTGATTTGGTGTCATGGTAACAAAAGACTGGGTAATTGCTGCTGGAAAAATCCATTACTTTTAAACCGAGAAAAGGGTATTCATGTGATTCATGACTCAGTGATGAGGGTTGTTTGATTCAAACCCTATCATTGACCTAGAAAGCATGTAGTCTCCACATTATTATAATGGAAATGGGATAATATGACTGATGAATCTTGTGAGACCAGGCTTTAGTTGGATCAGAGATGAGCTGACTTCTCTTTCTCAACCAGCAGATGGCGATTTTAAACCACTCTACAGGCACCCCTTTAAATCCTCCAGTCCCTGGAGATCAAACAAAGACATGAGCGTCATCATTCTGGGAAGATTGATATGGATGCAGTATTTATTCTGTGTGTCTGTTAGTAATGTGAAAATATACTTTACATGTAAAAAGGGTCTATAAGTAAGACATGCTTTCATTCCGAGTGCAGAAAGCATTGTTCGTATTACCCAACACGGCTCCGGATTGCAGACTCTTGCTTTAAAGGATCTTTTTTGAAAATGTCATTGTAAATGTATTTATGTATTGGAAACATTGTGCGGGATTAGCACATCTATAGTCAAATAAGATATAAATAGAATCCTTAAAGGCTGAATGAAAATGTAAATGAGCATACCTCTCACTTCAGTTTGGCTAATTTGAATTTGCACCATTCATAACACAAATCTTTAAACTAGAAAAGAAAGATCTTTTTTCTTTTTTTCTTTTTGCTTGCTGTTGCTCTCACCCCTCAGGCTCAAATCTGCTCAAAAGCCCCTCCAACAGACCACTGCCTCCACGAGATTAGACCCAACCATTCACCAACCACAATGCCCCTGCTTCTGCTGCACCATGCCTTCCAAGGAAGCCTGCTCTTGTGGGATTATGGAGAGAAGATCCACATTTTCTCTGCTTGCGCAAAACCAATCGCAGATCCACATGCGCACACTCAGATATCGGGCCACATTGGTAGCCGACATGAAACTAGTGTCTAAATCAAGATGACACATCAGGGTCGCGCCAAAATCGGCTTGGCCCCTTCAGTGTGTGAAGGCCACAAGGAGCATGACATCTGTGCTTGGGATAGAGGACTGGTCTCTCAGTCGCTGCCTCCTGTTATTGCTGTAACAGGATGGTCTCTGCTGCTTTCAGACACGGTCAAGGCACACATATGTTGAACACTGTCCTATCCATTTTGCTCTCTCTCGGTTACGTTAAAGCAATGAACCAATGAAAACGGTTTAACACGGTGCGCTTTGGACACGGTATGGAGTGATGATTAATCCAATTGGATAACTGATTAATTTTTACTACAGACTAAATTGGAAAAGTGGCCCTTGCCGTCTCACACACGTTGGCTCATATATTGCATATATGTTAGCCTGTACAAATGGCTGATAGAGATCTCATTCTTTCGTTTGCATAATTCCAAATTTGTTGTGCTTGAATAGAACACGAGGCTGCACCCCTATCTGCAGCATCCCCGAGTGCACAACGTCTGGGGAGTTTGCATGATTGCCTGTAGATTATTTGAACATTATCTATTCCCCCTCCTCTTTTTCTTATTTCTGTGGCTCTCTGCTGTGAGGATGCACACACATCCTTGGGCAAAAGAATCTAAAATAGATCATACAAGCAACCGGAGTAGATGCACAGGCACAGGAAGCAGCTCACGGGCAGACTTGAGTCATGCTGGCAAGATCATGCACCCTGAGCTGACAGCCCAACACACCCGATTACCAAGCATGTCATTTCTAAAATGCAGCCGCAGCCTCACTATAGGTCGCAAACAAGGGGGAAAATATTGGAGATCCAGCTCTGATTTACCCATGAATGACTCTTGAATGTGGTATGGATTGAATTCAGGGTTGTACGTACTTTAAGACTGACCTGATGAGCTTCTCTGGCTTTAGCAATTGTTGCTCATTCATTGTGTCATGTGGACTGCTGGCAATGCCATAACCTTTGTAGAGGGAAGGGAAGACAACACGGTCACTCTGGATAACAGTCTTGCAATGAACAGAAACAGACCCTGTCAGGCCGTCTCAGCATCAGTTTTCAGCTGCACACCACCAACACACTCTACCAATTTCCTCACTTCCTCCTTCCATCAGTTAGGGCAGTGCCTTCTTGATAAGGCCCCCTTGTGTGGCGTGCATGTTACATTGATTTGGCAGGTTCCTATTAATACATTTATCCTTTACATCCCCTCTATGTTGCGTGCTGCCTCAGCTCCATCTTTGACCTGTTTTGCTGCGCACATTTGGCCTGCCGTACAGCCGTATGGTGCTTGACACAGCCAGTGATTTCCTACTGATACAGTTGGCTTACATTTCATACTTTTATATATTATTGATTGATTTGTTAATGATTGATTTAAAGAGCCATCTGCTGCACAATAGCATGACTGCGCTGCCGTTGTGTTGTTCCTTCAAGATAATGAATCGCTTCCAATTAGGGCATACAAATGATAGGCTAATATTTCTTGTTAGCAAGAGACCATATTTTTCCTGCAAGATCAGGGCCCCATATAATTATCCAAATTTCCTCTCTTAACAACAAGCGGAAAAGGATGTGCATTGAGACAGTGGGTTTTGGGCACTGAGCAGCAGATAAATGTTTGAACCATCACTAAAGGGCATTCTAATGTCTCATTATGAGGCTTGTTAGGGCCTACATTACAGCTGCTTGACTGAGCAGCCTTAATAAGGAAAGTGACCCAACACCAATATGAGCAGCAATGTTTTTCCTCTCACGTCCATTTACTACTGTCTTCCATGGCCCTATCTCTTTCCTCTTGTCTGTCTGCCCC